CCACTCACACAGTCACTCACTCACTCAAGGAGTCACTCACCCACTCACACAGTCACTCACCCACTCATACAGTCACTCACCCACTCACACAGTCACTCACCCACTCACACAGTCACTCACCCACTCACACAGTCACTTACCCTCTCACACAGTCACTCACCCCACACACACAGTCACTCACCCACTCACACAGTCACTCCCCCACTCCCACAGTCACTCACCCACTCACACAGTCACTCACTCACTCAAGGAGTCACTCACCCACTCACACAGTCACTCACCCACTCACGTAGTCACTCACCCACTCACACAGTCACTCACCCACTCACACAGTCACTCACCCAAAACACATATACTCACCCACTCACTCAGTCACTCACCCACTCACACAGTCACTCACCCACTCACACAGTCACTCACCCACACACACAGTCACTCACCCACTCACACAGTCACTCACCCACTCACACAGTCACTCACCCACTCACACAGTCACTCACCCACTCACACAGTCACTCACCCACTCACACAGTCACTCATCCACTGACACAGTCACTCATCCACACACACAGTCACTCACCCACTCACACAGTCACTACCCACTCACACAGTCACTCACCCACTCACACAATCACTCACCCACTCATACAGTCACTCACCCACTCACACAGTCACTCACCCACTCACACAGTCACTCACCCACTGACACAGTCAATTACCCACTCACACAGTCACTCACCCACTCACACAGTCACTCACCCACTCATACAGTCACTCACCCACTCACACAGTCACTCACCCACTCACACGATCACTCACCCACACACACAGTCACTCACCCACTCACACAGTCACTCACCCACTCACACAGTCACTCACCCACTCACATAGCCACTCACCCACTCACATAGCCACTCACCCACTCACACAGCCACTCACCCACACACACAGTCACTCACCCACTCACACAGTCACTCACCCACTCACACAGTCACTCACCCAAACACACATATACTCACCACTCACTCAGTCACTCACCACTCACACAGTCACTCACCCACTCACACAGTCACTCACCCACATCACACAGTCACTCACCCACTCACACAGTCACTCACCCACTCACACAGTCACTCACCCACTCATACAGTCACTCACCCACTCACACAGTCACTCACCCACTCACACAGTCACTCATCCACTGACACAGTCACTCATCCACACACACAGTCACTCACCCACTCACACAGTCACTCACCCACTCACACAGTCACTCACCCACTCACACAGTCACTCACCCACTCATACAGTCACTCACCCACTCACACAGTCACTCACCCACTCACACAGTCACTCACCCACTGACACAGTCAATTACCCACTCACACAGTCACTCACCCACTCACACAGTCACTCACCCACTCATACAGTCACTCACCCACTCACACAGTCACTCACCCACTCACACGGTCACTCACCCACACACACAGTCACTCACCCACTCACACAGTCACTCACCCACTCACACAGTCACTCACCCACTCACATAGCCACTCACCCACTCACATAGCCACTCACCCACTCACACAGCCACTCACCCACACACACAGTCACTCACCCACTCACACAGTCACTCACCCACTCACACGGTCACTCACCCACACACACAGTCACTCACCCACTCACACAGTCACTCACCCACTCACACAGTCACTCACCCACTTACATAGCCACTCACCCACTCACATAGCCACTCACCCACTCACACAGCCACTCACCCACACACACAGTCACTCACCCACTCACACAGTCACTCACCCACACACTCACCAACTCACACAGTCACTCACACACTCACACAGTCACTCAACCACTCACACAGTCACTCACATAGTCGCTCACCCACTCACACAGTCACTCACCCACACACTCACCCATTCACACAGTCACTCACCCACTCACACAGTCACTCACCCACTCACACAGTCACTCACCCACTCACATAGTCACTCACCCACTCACACAGTCACTCATCCACACACTCACCCATCCTCCGATTCGCACGGTTGGCTACGTTATGGTACAAAAGTAGTTCAACGTACACACACACCAAGAGTCTTGAGGCTCACTTGATGCTCTCCTGGGTAAAACAGGCGTAGCAGTCGTACTAATAATAAATAATTATAATATTTAACATCAAATACTGTGCATATTTCGATTTAAAGCTTTCGTGACTGCAGAGATTCATCTTCTTGACTTTACCGAAAGAACCAAGAAGACTGTGCATATTGTGACTCGGACGGGTCCCTTTAGTGTTCTTTGTAATTCATTAGCGCGGCATCAACGAGGTGGGGCTCACAAGCCTTGGACTATCCAATCCCCGGGAGAAGGTTTTCAAGCCTTTGATTAGCATTGCCAGCATCTTACGACGAGATTTTCTCACATATTTTAGGATGTGTTGGGGCGGGCGAGATTTTGTAAGATTGTCAAATATTGTGGGATTTTGTGGGATCTTGTGAGATTTTACGAGATCCTGTGGGGTTTGTACGATGTTTTATGACATCTCGTGTGGATTTTGTGGGATCTTGTTTGATTTCATGAGATCCCGAGGAGTTTGTACGATGTTTATGACGTCCTGCATGTGGATTTTGAGGGATCTGGTGAGATTTTAAGCGATTGTATGCAGGTTTTTTTTCATGAGCGTGAGAAATCTTGTTGGGAATTCTGTAAATATTTCTTAAAATTAATCGAGATCGTCTGGGGGATTATTCGCGAGAGCTTTTTTTTTCTTTCCACTATTTCCGTGGAATTTTGGGAGATTTTTTTATTTACGTATCTCCGCAGATTTCACAACCTCGTCTTGGACTTTCGTAAGATTTCGTCGGGTTGGCGCTGTGGTGCAGCATTGACGTTGGACCATCTACCAGACGCTGTCGGAAAGACAGCGTCTGAATGGGCACCACCAGGCTTGGCAGCGTATATTTAAGCCGGGTTGGAGGGAGGGAAGGGGCGCCTTGACAAAGGAATTTGCATTTCAAGAGGAATTTAGCATATTTATGAGAAATACAGATATGGGATTAGTCACTACTTGTGGAATGCGTAAATTCCTCTTGATATGCAAATTCCTTTGTCAAGGCGCCCCTTCCCCCCCCCTCCAACCTCAGCTTAAATATACGCTGCCAAGCCTGGTGGTGCCAATTCAGACGATGTCTTTTTTACAGACCTGTTCTTCACCTGAGGACGGCTGCTTGCTGCGTTGTGGCCGAAACGTCGTGAGAATTGTATTTCATTATATTTAATTTTTATTATTTTATTATTTCCCTTCTACGTGACTTTACCGACAGAACCAAGAAGACCTCTTTTCGTTGTTCATTTTTGGGGGGTGGAGGTTAGTTAGTGGGCGGGGGGGGGGGGGTGGAGCGTGGATTGTTGGGGGGGGATGGTTGTCCACCAACGTGGACAAAGCGGAAAGATATTAAAAAAAAAACAGCGTCGGATGTCGCAAACGAGACATCGGGACGAGTGAATGTTTCATTCCGGGGACTCCACCTCTCTCTCTCTCTATCTTTCTCGTCCAACAATTCAGAATTCAGATGTCAAAATTGCACATCGCGCCTATTTGCGCCCTTCGCGGAATTGCCGCCAGCGATATGACTCCGATATTTTGAACAACAGCAACCGCAGAAAGAAGAAAATTCGCAACTCAATACCCATCGTAATGGTCCATAAAAGGGTGTTTTTTTCAACGGTTTCACTTCACTTGATTCCTGCGTCGTGGTCAAATCTTGTAATCTACATTTCGTTCACTTCGTGTTGACCAATCAATTCCAAAATTTGCACACGTACTCAGATCCGGTATCAATCGGCATCAATTAATCAATTAATTCACTACTTTAAAGCAACAAACTGACACTTGTTTTACAAGGAGTCATGTTTGCATAGACCACAATACCTGCAGTCATAATGCAAACAAAAAAACATAACTCTGATAATGTGCACTGTCCTTGAAGTTGATTGGTCCACACCCGAGACAGCTTTCCTTAGAGCCTAGTCTCACATGGGTTGGACCAGATGACGCCAAAAGGCCAGATAAAAGGGTAAAAAACTAATTATCATATTTTTTACTGGCAAATGAGGTTCCAATGGTACTTTAAAGCAGTTAAATTTCGATTTAAAGCTTTCGTGACTGCAGGGATTCATCTTCTTATGTTTTATTTTTATTATTTTATTATTTCTCTTCTACGTGACTTTACCGAAAGAACCAAGAAGATACTTTAAAGCAATTGATATTTTATATGGACGCCTTATTATTTAAATATATATTTGTGTAGGTCAAAAACGCAGTGGTCCCTAAACTCTCGAATCGCCTCGCCAAAGAAGCTGGTGCCACGTGTCTCAGGCGCGCCTGCCCCGTGTGAACTGCACATTGAAGATTCATTTATAAATTAATCAATTAATTCAAGTAAGCGTTGATGTGGGAGCAGGCGCCGCGTCATTGACGTACTTCTTCTTGGTTCTTTCGGTAAAGTCACGTAGAAGAATGGAAATAATAAAATAATAAAAATAAAACAAATAAAATAATTCTCACGACGTTTCGGCCACAGCGCAAGCAGCCGTCCTCAGGTGAAGAACAGGTCTGTCGAGAAGACAGAGTCTGAATGACATTCAGACTGCTTGCGTTGTGGCCGAAACGTCGTGAGAATTATTGTATTAGGTTCTATTTTATTATTTCCATTCTACGTGACTTTACCGAAAGAACCAAGAAGATGAATCCCTGCAGTCACGAAAGCTTTAAATCGATAAAAAAATTGACGTACTTCTTGACCGTGAGTTCAACGAAGTTGTTAACAAAACCGTTGCTTTAAAAAATACTTTTTTTAAGGAGTTTATTTTAGGTGTATATCGCGTAAATATAAATGTGGCCGTTAAACTCGCCACCGCCACCCCGACACAGCCATATCGTAAGGGGTTTGTCACGTGAACAAATAGGGCCCAATTCGTTACAAGTTGAGCAGTAACCGGCTGTGTGTTGCACAGTAACCCCGCGACATTCAAGACGGCAGCAGGGAGGGAGGATTTCTCCACAACTCCGTGGCTGTCACCTGATGATGCTGGTCGTTGTTTTTGTCGTTGTTGTTATTACCGGCGAAACTTCACGGCATTGGAATTGTAAATGTTGCAGTGGGTTTACTCTCCAACACGCGATGTTTTTACACACCGCACCAGGTACTCATTTGAGGCTGGGTCGACCTAGTTGAGGCCTATGACCGTTTCAGATAATCGTCACCGGTGTTGGCCGTGAACAGGATTCGAACTCGGGTGGCCGGGTTTGTAGTGTGGAGTGCAAACCACTACACAACCTCCCACCCCCCCCCCCCCCCCCACACACACACACACAAAATGAAACTAATTTTTGCATCAAGCCCAGGAGGTAGGGAGGGATGATAACAATAATGATGACGACGATGATGATGATGATGACGATGACAATGAGGTGAACGACACCGCCAACCACGATTTGAACTCGTGACCTTTCCATTGTTGTTATCGACTAGCACTCTCTCCCACTGATGATGATAATGACGACGCTGATGACGACGACGATGATGACAATGATGACGATGACGACAATGACGACGATGATGACGACGACAATGACGACGATGATGACAATGATGACGATTATCACGACGATGATGACGATGATCACGACGATGATGACGACGATGGCGATGACGATGATGATGACGATGACGACGACGATGATGATGACGATGACGACGATGATGACGACGATGATGACGCCAATGATGACGACAATGACGACGATGATGACGACGATAATGACAATGACGATGATGATGACGACGATGATGATGACGATGACGATGACGATGATGACGATGATGATGATAACGATGACGATGATGATGACGACGATGACGACGATGATGATGACGATGATGACGACGATGATGATGACGATGATGACGATGATGACGACGATGATGACGATGACGACGATAATGACGACGATGATGACAACGATGATGACGATGACGCCGATTATGAAAATGATGACGATGATAACGATGATGATGACGATGACGACGATGATGACGACGACGACAACGATGATCACGATGATGATGACGACAATGATGACGACGACGACGATGTGACGAGCGAAACCCCCAACCGCGCTTTGAACTCGCCACCTTCCCGTTTTATTATGTTTTATTTTTATTATTTTATTATGTTTTATTTTTATTATTTTATTACTTCCCTTCACGTGACTTTACCGAAAGAACCGTGGCTGTCCCCGCAGCGAGAAGCCACGCGGCCCCGTCAGGCGCACGACATTTCACGCGTCTCGAGCAAAAGCGACGACGATACGTTTCCTCTAACGCAGCCAAATTTTTTTTTCTTAAATAAATTTTTTTATAATATATAATTTTTGACACCAACAACAACAACAACCGAATTAATCCCGGCACAAACCCTCCTTCTTTCGTTTTTTGTTCGTCGGTCCAGCAATAAACAATCGCTCACACCGCCAGCAATCAAACTTTAATGCAATATTTTCATTATTGATGGCGCGATGGAAACGGGCCTCTAGGAGAGCTGGCAACAAATCCCGTAATGCGCCGTTAAAAATTTCATGTTTTCGCTTTGAACGCGGGCAGGGTGGGGCGGGTGGGGGGGGGAGAGGGAGGGAGGGACGACCCCCCCATTCCAATTCCCATTCTATCCCCCTCACCCCCTCCCCCCATTCTTCCCCCCCCCCACCCCCTATCTACCCACCCTCCACCCCCCTCCGTGTCGCGTGCCATGCGGGTGCGTTGATAATCGACGCCCCATTCGTGATTCGAGGCACAAGTGAGGTTGGGAGAGAGGGGAGGGAGGGGATGGAGGGAGGGAAGGGAGGAAGGGAGGGAGGGAGGGGAAGGATGGAGGGAGGGGAGGGAGGGAGGGAGGGTGGGGAGGGAGGGAGAGAGGGCAGGGAGGGAGGGAGGGAAGGGAGGGAGGGGATGGAGGGAGGGAGGGAGGGGAAGGATGGAGGGAGGGAGGGAGGGGTGGGAGAGAGGGCAGGGAGGGGAGGGATGGGAGGGATGGGAGGGAGGGGATGGAGGGAGGGGAGGGAGGGAGGGGAGGGAGGGGAGGGGATGGAGGGGATGTAGGGAGGGAGGGGAGGGAGGGGATGGAGGGAAGGGAGGGAGGGGTGGGAGGGAGGGAGGGAGAGAGGGCAGGGAGGGCAGGGAGGGAGGGGGAGGTGTATGTCAGGAACTGGGACCTCCGTTTTTTTTCCGACATCGACGCTTCCGAGTTCTTTTGGCGTTTGACCCACAGTCATGTACGGAGCAAATCCGACGGCCCGCGAGTTGCCTGCCCCCCCCCCCTCGCCCCCCACACGAGTGTGCCACCGAGGAAGAACATCGCAATCGATGAGCGACGGAGCTGTGGGTCGTGAGGCTCCCTCGCCTTGTCGCTGAACGCCTCGCAACGCAGTTCACGTCGTTTAATGTGAAAATTCGGTCACAGTTCCTATGACATGCAGTGTTTCGTTGCTTTAATGGCTTAATTTTGGTGATTTTCGAAAAGTTTTTCGGTTTGGCCATGTTTGTTTGTTGTAGTACAGAGTTAGACTGATGG